CCCCAAAACCCCAAAACCCCAAAACCCCAAAACCCCTTACTAGAGTAAATCAATAAATTAATTAGATATGGAAGAGCAAAAAGAGAATCTCCTCAAAGGTTTAGAGATCGACCTTGAGCATAGTATAGAACCTCAAAGAGTTTCTAGAGGCAAGGATATGCCATCATTCGGAGTTGATGTCACTGATTCAAGTGATTTTAGCCAAAAGAGCACATCCTGATTGTATAAGTGCTTCTACCCGATCCTGGTAATCTTATATTACCTCCTATGTTGCTGTTTCTGAAACAAAGGCAGCTCTGAAACTCCCAGAAAACTAGTTGCAAAGAGATTCAAGAGATGGATAAGAAAGAGAGGAGAGAGTAAATAAAGATCCCCTCGATGTTCTTCTCAGACTCTACGCTCGGGAAGAAGGAATTGTTGAAGAACTTGAAGAAGTCCGGCTTAACCCTGATTTCACCTCAAAATACAGAAATGATCTAGAATTTTACCTCCCACAATTATGCTCTTATTGCTTGTCAGAGGATGGAAATGACGAGCTTCAAAAGTTCATTATAATAGCAGCACAGTCAAACATTTTCTTCTCTCACAGAGTGTTATTTTTCCTGGAATCCCTGACCACAGAAAACGAGAAAGTGAACGAGAATATCCAAAATATTCTGATTTCATTATCCCAAATGCAAGGTATTGAAACCCAACAGTATGGAGAAAATGAAGAGAAAAATAAAGAAATAGAGCAAGTAATTGAAAATTATAAAAAGACAGAGATTCTCTCCCCAGAAACAATTCAGAAGTACAGAAACAAGATCAGAGCTGCTGATATCACACTTAGAAAGTATGACTACACTATGGGGGTAGATACAACGTTGGATAACCAGAGTGGGTATCTCTCAACCCCTTTCTTCGTGTTTTCCCTAACAAATCTATGAAATATAATACTGAATTCTCAAGATAGGGAAAGCGCACTGTTCGATGGCTTGCAGAAAATAAACATGCACTTGCCGTCATCTGTATACATTCCTTTTGTCAATGCTTCCATGAGAAACTACGTTGTACTTCATATTAATGTGGTAGAAGCCAAGGTATTTGTTACAAAACAGAGAGCACCATTTTTAGTCTGAATTGAAGTGTTCAGACCCCAAGAAAACGAATTCAGAGATAAAATAGAAGAGGGGGACTCCACTTCGTCAAGTGAAGATGAAGCAGAACCAGTAGATATTGAAATGCAAGAGAAGCCAACTAATACAGGTATTTACCTCTCTATATCTTACAAATAGTCACTAAAAATTGGAAGAATTTCCTGATCAAAAACAAAGACATTGAAGAAGATGATGCTCTCGCTTCTCAGGAGCTAGGCTTAGGGAGCAAACAGAAGTCCAAACATTCCAGACATAAGAGCTATGGAGCTTTTAAGACCACTTTTAGAGGAAATGAAGAAGAAAAGCATCAAAAAGAAAAAGAAAATAACAAGAAAAAGTTTGATATCATGAAAGCCTTCTTCAACATAGGAAAATTCCACAAGAAAGATCTCTCCAGAAAAATTGATAAATTTGCAGATGAACAATACTCTCACATGGTGAATATGAAGAAAATCAAAAAGAGAGATCCTTTTGGTGATATGCTCGATATCCGTCAACCAAGGAGTCTTAGTAGAACTTTCACAGGTGACATTAACTCTCTCAGAAGCAACTCAATCAAAAAGTTATCTGATGCACTTAACACAACTGTTTATCGACCAAATAAGAACTTATCATTACTGAAAGAGGCAGAAACTCATGTAGATTTCCATAATATTGCTGATGGAGTTTCAGAGGGAGAAGACAGCAACGAATTCGAGCCAGAACAAACAGCTTCATGTATCGGTGACTTCTACGAAGGATCTACTCTACAAAAGAAGAGCACAATTCTTACAAAAGGGCATGTCAAGAAATCAAGCATGATGACTCCTTCAAAGACTCTTAGGGCTGAAATGAACACCTTCAGCCACTATCGCAATTTAAGCAATCAAATGCAGAAAGATTTTAAAGAAAATATTGAGAAAGTAGACCCTATTCTTGAAGAGGAACAAGCAATGTCAAATTCTGAGGAGGAAATCCCTACCTCAGGAGAGACTGCTGCTCAACAAGAGAAAAGAATAAGAAAGCAAAGCATCTTTGGACACCTAAAAACTTGGAAATTACTCCGCCTCATTGTTAAGAGTGGGGATGACCTTCGGCAAGAGCAATTTGCCATGCAATTGATTAGCCAGATCGACCAGATCTTCAAGAGAAAGAAGTTGAATATATGGCTCAAACCCTACGAAATTCTTGCAACTGGGAAAGATTGAGGTCTTATAGAATTTCTCTCTGACGCGATAAGTATTGACGCATTTAAGAAGAAAAATCCGACTTGATCATTGGATGATTACTTCAAGCAAAACTTTACCAGCAAAAAGGAGCTATCTAAAGCAAGACAGGCATTTGCTAGATCCTTGGCTGGGTACTCCTTAGTGTGATACATCCTCCAGATTAAGGATAGACATAATGGTAACATCCTTCTGGACACAGAAGGGCATATTATGCATATTGACTTTGGATTCCTTCTCACAAATGCCCCTGGCAAAGGACTTAACTTTGAAAAAGCTCCATTCAAGCTCACAGACGACTTCATTGAAGTCTTAGAAGGTCCTGAAAGCAAGTACTTCAAGAAATTTAGAGAGAAATTGATCTCAGGATTCTCTGCAATTCAGAAGAAAGCAGAACAACTTATTTGTCTTGTTGAAATGATGATTGCGAGTCAACAAGAGCTTGACTGCTTTATTGGTGGTAGGGAAAGAGTTCTCAACGAGCTCAGAAGCAGACTCTTCCCTTATGATCGTAATAAAGTTCTCTCTAAAGCAGAGTGTAAGGAGTATATTGATGAACTTATCGACCAATCTTCTAACAACTGGAGAACTAAGGTATACGATGGTTTCCAAAAATGATGTCAAGGAATTGCCTCATAATTAATCCAAATTCAATAAATTTGAAGAATGTTGGGGTTTTGGGGTTTTGGGGTTTTGGGGTTTTGGGG